AATAGAGCAGGGTTTAGAGCTGTTGTGCATAGGGTCGCTATGAATCGGAAACGACTCGATGGCACATAACAACAACAAGTCAATCACTGCCCAACACACTTTGTTTTCAAATGGAAAGATTAGCTCGCATTTATTGTTTTGAGTGAAATTTTACAAAGTAATTTGGTTCTACGTTCAATTATTCATGCATATTTGTTTTATGACATCAATTATGATACACACAATATAAGTGCATTCTTCTCATTCTTAACTTATAATTCTCATTACCATTAATCCTTCCAGCCTACCCTTTCCTCCCTTCTGAGCTTTCTCCCTGGACTATATGTGGTGAAATGGGATGGGTTGCTTTGTTACACACAGGAGAAATTCTAACTACAACAAGACTGCTCAAAACAAAAAAAAAAAAATAAAAAGACTGCTCAAAACAACTGTCACCACAAGGACAGCAAGTATCACAACCCACTGGCTGGTCAAGGACACCCACACAAGTACTGGCAGGATGTGTGTACACATTAGTTGATCATGGACGGGGAACAGGAGCAACAGCCTCGGGATTTAGAGCTGTGAAGTATCCTCATCATGAGGAAAAGGAGGATCCCTGGATGTGTTTGAGTCTGTGGAACAATCACTATTTCAGGTACTGACATAGGCGCTCACCTGTGTCATTTACAACTCCGGAGTCCTTTGCCTGGGAAGTGATCATGTGTGATCTGAGGGTGGAGATAATGTTCTGACACCCAGGGGACAGACCTCACACTTCCGAGTGCTGCAGGGGGGGTGGCGGGGGAGGGGGGAACTAACTCAGATGTCATCTCCATGTGCAGGGTGAGATGATGAGACTTCCACCATGTCATAAAATACCTCCTTAGGTGTCATAAGGCGTTTATTGTTTCCATGTAGTATACAGGACTGATAACCAAAAGGCTGGAAGTTCCAGTCTACCCAGAGGGACTTTGGAAGAAAGGATTTAGTCTATTTTGGAAAAAGCAACCACTGCAGACTCAACAAAACGTTGCTCTTTAAAAACAAAACAAAACAAAACAAAACACATTGCTCTACTCTGGCACAGGGTCTCCAAGAGGCAGAGGAGCATTGTTTTTTTCCAATAGGTGGTTCAGAGAATTCTCATCAGTCAACCTGCCTCATGTTGGCCAGTGGAGGCTTGCATGCTGCTAACGTGCTGAACTTGTTTCCACAGAGCTTCTAGACCAATACAAATTGGAGAAAAAGCCCTTATTTACCTCCAGAAGTCAGCCCCATGCAAAGTCTATGGATCACAATGGTCTGATCCCCAACAGGTTCTGGAGCTGGTGCGTGACTGGTGAGTGCTTTGCTCGAGTGCATCAAGGGACCATCATGAAGGCAACTAAAAACAATACAAGACCTTGAAGCCAGGAGCTCTGGTGGCCTGATGGCAAGAAGTTGTGCTGCAATCCTGAAGGTACACAGTTTGAATCCACCAGATGCTCCGCTAGAGAGGAGGGGCAATCTCCTCCTGTGCCAGTCAGATCTGATCTGAAGGTACACATACAATAAAATAAAAAAAGCTAAAAAAAAAAAACCCAAAAAACAGGTCTTGAAGGCAGAAAACAGGTTTTATAAATCTGGCACAAAGAGGAGACAGCTTTTGAGGGGTACTCTCCTCCCAGATCTGTAATAAAATGCTTACGGATATTGCAAAACAGAACAACAAACAACAACAACACACCAAATCCGGCACAAAGTAGATGTTTAATGAAGATTTTCATCATTCTTTTATTTGTACTTGCTGGGTGGTGCTGTTAGGTGCCATCCAGTCAACTACAACTCATAGTGATCCTATGAACAACAGATATGAACCTTGCTCGATCCTGTGTCATTCACTTGATGGGCTTGAGTCCATTGTTACAGTAACTCTCTGACTTTCCATCACTTCCAGCATGTCTTTTTCCATAGCCCCTCCTTACAACATAACCAAAATATGTGAGATGATCATATATGAGATCACCATCCTAGCCTCTAAGGACCATCCTGGTTGCACTTCCTCTAAGACATATCTCTTTGTTCTTTTGGCAGTCCATGAGATATTCAGTATTCTTCTCCAACACCCCAATTCAAAGGCATTGATTCTTCTTCTGTCATTCTTATTCATTGCCCAACTTTCAGATGCATAGGAGATAACTGAAAGAGACTATGGTTTGGATGGGGTGCACCTTAGTCTTTAAAGTGGCATCCTTGCTCTTTAGCACTTTAAAGTGGTCTTTAAAAGCAAATTTTCCCAATGCAACATGTCTTTTGATTTCTTGACTGTTGTTATTGTAGTTGTTGACCACGGATGCAATAGTTTGACAACTTCAGTCTTTTCTCTGTCTGTCATGATGTTGCCTATTGGTCCTGTTGGAATTTTGTTTTCTTAATGTTGTCCTAGTACCCACTGTTGTTGTTAGGTACTTTCAGGTATGAACCATAGCAACCATAGATCCTGTCCTATCCTGTGCCATCTTCATAGTCTTTGACATACTTGTGTCCATTGCTGCAGTCACTGTATCAATCCACCTGGTTGTCTTCCTTTCTTTCACTGACTCTCCACCTTTCCTGCCGTAATGTCCCTCTCCAAAGAATAGCTTCTCCTAGCATCATGCCCAAAATATAAGATACAAAGCTTCATCATCTTTGTCTCCAAGGAGCACTCTGGCTCTGCCTTCTCCAAGACAAATGTTTGTTCTTTTGGCAGTCCCTGGGATGGATGTTTAGCACTCTTCTCCAGAGCTCAAATTTCCTGGGACCCACTAGGAAATGAATGACATATGAGACAAACAGACTGTGTTCTAACTTATTGTTATGTACCATCAAGTTGCTTGTGACTCATAGGGACCCTATGTATGATAGCTCTGAACCCTGTTCTGTCTTGAGCCAACTTTATTGTCTCTGACAGACCTCATCCAAGGTCTTCCTCTCTTGCGCTGTCCTTCTACCCTTCCAAGGATAATGTCCTCTCCAAGGACTGGTCCCTCCTTGTAACATGGACAAAGTATGTCAGATGGAGCTTCAGAATCCTTGCCACTAAGGAGCTGCCTGGTTTCACCCTCTCTAGGATGGACCTGCTTGTTCTCCTAACAGTCTGTGGTATGTATATTCAATACTCTTCTCCAGCGCCACAACTCAAAGGCAGCAATTCTCCTTCTATCATCCTTGGTCATTGTTCAGCTCTCTGATGCATAACAAGTAATTGTGAAGACCATAGCCTGGATCTGGCACACCTGAGTCTCTAGACTGACATCATTGCTTTTCAGTACTTTAGTGAAGTCTCTGACATCAGATTTTTGCCAATGCAATTCATCTTTTGATTTTCTGGCTGCTGGGGGTCCTAGTCCCCTGGAGTCAGATATATATGTGAGTTGTTATCAATGCTTATCAACACTTTGTCACCTCTGCCTCACAAGCCCTTCTTTCCATCTGCCTCTTTTCTCTGAAATAAGTCTCCCATTATTCAGACCACGTTTGGCCCTCTCTCTACCTGCACCATCCTACTCCTTAGGAGGACACTGCATCGTCACCAAACGAAAAAGAAACCAAAAACTGAAGGCAAATTGAGGGCAGAGCCTAGGAAGGTACAAGAGACACAACAATTAGAGGCTCGACAATCTAGGGGACAGTTCTCCGGGGTGAAGCGGTGGGTAATCTGGAGGGAGATGCTGAGTGAGAAACGGGGAGACTGAATTTGGAGGTGGTTGATCATGTGGGAGGAAGGGGTTCAGAGCCCCCAGCCTAGTCTGTCTGGCTCCAGCCAGGCCGGCTGTTTCCTGCCCTCGGTGACCCCCCACCCCGGAGCAGGACCCAGGCAGGGCAACAAGGAAGGGCAGGGGTGTGGGGAGCACCTCTTGTGGCAGGAAGATAAGTGCGCGGGGACAAGAGGTCACCGCAGGTCTGGCTGTCCTCTTGGGGGGGCGGGATTGGAGGTGTTTGGCAGCTCCCCAGTCATCTCCAGACAACATCCCCATGAATCTCTTTCAAGGTCTAAGCCCGTTCCTTCTAGCCCTTCCACTCACACATCCCACACTATGTAGGGGCCCTGAAGAAGTGGGGTGCGGAGCGGAGCACTGCTTTTTTGGATCCTCCCATTAACTGATGGAACTTGGGGGGCGGAGGGATTTGGCAGTGAGAGGAAGGGCCCCTCCCAGCCATCCCAAGGGCCCCCAGGAGCCAGACAGGAAACAGCTTCAGGAAAGACAGCAGCAACAGCCACAGGGACACCTCCCAGGGGTCAGGGTTGCTGGCAGGAGGGAAGCCCCCACAAAAGTGAAAGGTGATTTGGTATTCCTCACCTACACTATCTTTTACTTACCCTTATGTCCTCGACTGTTCTACACTCTTCCACCTCTCTACCTGATTGTCCCAAGTCCTGGCCGGTTGTGCACAGTAGGTCTGCAATGTTGTTGCAAGACTGTAAAAGCTTGGGCTCCAAGGCTATCTAAGCGAGGTGCATTGCCTCAGGGCGTGCTGGGAGACACTTCATCCCCCCAAACTGCTACTCCTTTCTTTTTGCCTTTCCTTCCGAAGTCCCCCGCGCCTACGAGGGGCAGCGCGAATCCCGGGGTGGAATCTAGTCGGCAGGAAGGTCGGAGCGGGCTTTGTGTGTGTGTGATGCGCGCTTACGCGCACGCACGCCCGAGCCGCCCTCGGTGCAGCTGGAGGGGCTTCTTGGCGCCCTCGTGTCGGCCGGGTTCGGACTTGCCACTGGGGGTCCGGGCCCGGACACGCGACACCTCAAGCCGGGCGCACGGCCACCGAGCACGTCCGGACGGTCCCCCAGATCCGCGCTCGCCGCCCCTCCCCCTTCTCTAAACTTTCTCCCAACTTCCCGACCTGCTCCGCTCGGCCCCGCTCGCTTCCCTCATGAATTATTCAGCAGAGCGCGCTCCAATCAGCGCGCCCAGGCCCCCTGGTCGAGCCCGGGCTGGGTGGGGGGGCTCCCCACCGCCCCCCGCGCGCCCCTCCCTCCCGGCCAGGCGCCGCCCGGCCCAGTCCCTGCTCGGCCCAGCCCCGGCCCGGCCCGCCCGGCCCCGCGCCTTAGTCTCCCTCCCTCCCTCCCGTTCCAGCCCGCTTGGGCTCCCACCTTCCCTGGCGGCGCGGCGCGGCGCGCGATCGGCCGGACGGCGCGAGCAGCACGACTCCTGGGAGGGGGGAGACCGCGAGGGCCGGCCCACCCCCAAGTCGCCGGGGCGGGACCCCGAGGCCCCGGAGGGACCCCTGACTCCAGCCACGTCTCGCTCTGCGCCCCTCCAAGCCGCGGCTGCCAGGACGCCCCCCGCCCGCGCGGCATAGCCGCGGGGCCACACCTGGGCGCAGCTGCCCGGTGCCCCGCATGGCCCCGCGCTGAGCGCCGGGACCGAGAAGGCCCGTACGAGGATTCGGTGTCGTACCTGCTCGCAGGCGGGAGGTTCAGACCTGGGGGGGCTAGCGCCCCCCAAACTCAGATCAGATCAAACTAAAGTGCGGCGGCGCCATGGAGCTCCGGGCACTACTCTGCTGGGTTTCCCTCACCGCCGCTATAGAAGGTGAGTCTGCTCAGGGCACCCCGCGTCTCCTGGGGCCCCCAAAGTTGGAACTGGGAGTGGAGGGGCTGACCACTTTCTCTGCTCCCACCGACACCCCAATCCCCCAATACTTCTGACCAATGGTGCTGGAACGGGAGGGGGGCGGGGAGGAGGCGGCCCAGCGGGGGAGTGGAGTTTTCTTTTGTTTGGGAAAGAGATGGAGTCGAGCTCCGTCCCGGGACATTCCCCAGCCCTGGCTCCCCAAACGCGTACTCTTGACTCCAGACGGCTTTGGCAAGCCTTCCTTTTCTCCCCACCCCAGTCTTCAGAACTCCCCAGAGTTTCTGCCCCACTTCTCACCTCGCGCCAAATGTGAGGAAACGTTTCTGGAGGAAAATCTACGGACAAGGCAAACCTTCAGGCTAGGCCATAAAACCACCCCCACCCAGTTTCTGAGAGTTCACACCTTGATCCTACCATTCCTTGGCCTGGCCCAGAGGCCCCCTTTTGCACTCACGCTGCAGCCCCCCACCAGTTTCTCTGAAACCCGGGGCCCTTGCTGCAGAAGTCAAACTTTGCCCTGGCTGCCCCCCAACCCTTTAAAAGCTCTCTATGCCTCAGACCAGCCTGCATCTTAGAGACACTGGCTTTTCTTCAACCCAACAGGCGAGCAAAAACTGACCTACACAGCCCCCAAGTTGTCCTAATTTAATCCTAGTTTAGTTTCTTTAAATGTACATTTGCCATATTCCCTCAAATAGTTCTTCCTTGTATCTCTCCTCTCGGGTCCCCTCCAGGGGAGAGCTAAGAGCCCAGCAAATTGATCCTAGATCCCCAGTATCTTTCCAATGAGCTGTCTCCTCTCTTCTTTCCCTGCCTGGAATCATAGGGGTCCCTGGGGAATGAGCCTTAGGGGGCTGCTGAAGGGAGGAGTTAAAGGCAATTAGAAAACCCTTCTCCCCAGAACTGCTCTGGGCTGGGGATCAAAGACGAAGTGTGGGGAGGAGTGAGGGGAAGCTTTCACAGATTAGAGGAAGGAGTTAGGGGAAACCCTGGGAGGAGAGAGGAGGGTAGGCTCACTAGGATAAGTGTGCTGAGAAGGAGAGAAAAATTCCAAGAGGAAAAGGGACTTATAACTGTTCTAGCTGAGTGCTTTCCATGCCCCAGGTCTGTGCAGGGCGCTTAGGTTAATGAAAGTGTTACTTGCATTGTTACAATAATCCTGGGGGTATGAGCCATTAATGGCCCCATTTTCCAGATGAGGAGACTGAGGGTGAGTAAAGTTATCTCACCAAGGTCAATGTGCTCAGGGGACGGTGAAAGGAGAGAGACAGAAAATAGCCCTAGTGTAAGTGGGAAGTGGAAGTAAAGAGGCAAGAAGACAGGGTTCAAGGTGAGCGTGAAGCAGACAAGATAAGGAGAGAAAGTGAGTGATCAGAGCCGAGAGGACAGCCCTAAACAGACAGTGTGTAAATTAGAGACCGGAAAACACTATCCAGATTGAAACAATGGAGGGTGGAGACAGCTGCCTCTATCCACCGGCTTCCCAGAACCAGGGCATCCTGTCCCCAGCAGGCTGGGCTGTCTCCTGCCACCCATGGGAGCCCGAGGGCGCACCTCAGGGTAGCCAGGTTTCCCATCAGCCCCGTGGACACCACCTAGTTCTGGGAAGGAGGCTGCCTGTCACCCTGTTTTCCCCTTGTCTGCAGTCTCCATGGGCCCAGGTGTGCCAGTGGACCCTTCGAGAAGGCTCTCTCAGTGGCCCTCCCAGGCTCCCATTTCTGCCCTTATGGTGCTTGGTTTCTGAGGGCAGTCCTCCTGTGGACTCTCTGGCCTCTCCTTCCTGCTCAGAGCTGTGTCACTTCTGCTAACCTGCCCCTGCCTCCAGAGCCCTGTCCCCATCCCCTCCCCCCCAGTGCCAGAGCAAAGCCAGGTGTGTGTGTCCCCTACAACACTCTTAAAATCTCCTCCCCTTTTTATTCCCATAACCAAATCCAGATGTGAGGCCTCAGTGGGGGCCTGGGCGAGAACCCTAGCATCTTGGCCTCCAGCACTTGCTACTCTTCACAGAGGGCAGCTCACTGTAAGCGGACAGGGGATGTTTAGATAGTCGGGGCACCTGGTGTTGGCAGGGCTATGCTCCAGGCGCCGAGAGTACCACCTTCCTGGAGACAACACTAATTTATTTTGTCAGACACGGGTGGGGACTTGGAAGAGGAGGAGGAATTGGGATGGGAGTTGCTGTCCCGGTCTCCTGAGGCCAGGAGATAGGGAGGGGTGGTCCCCAAGCCAGCAGCCATGGGGTCAGGGTAAGGTCAGGGCTGGAATTTTAACCCTTCTCCCTCTGTTTTAGCAGCAAGGGTCATGGAGACTGGCACCACAGGGTCCCCGGACGCCACTGGTGCCTGCCAGCTGTTAGGGGTGGGGTTGGTGCTCAGAAGCAGAGGCCTAGCCCAAGGCCTGCTATCTCCTGAATTCTCCACCACAGAGCTCAGTTCCTGGGACCCCATCTTCCTGGTCCTTCCCCCAAGCCTTAACTGTCTGCATGTCTGTTTGCCTAGAGACCCTGCTGAACACAAAATTGGAAACTGCAGATCTGAAGTGGGTGACATACCCTCAGGTGGAAGGGCAGGTAAGGGCTGGGCCCAGGACCCTGGGGTGCGGGAGGAAAACTGAGGAAGAAGGGACATCTCTGTTGACTTGTCTCCCGTAAGCCCTCGTTGGATCCTGAGTGGGAATTTCTCTGTGCCCCTGCTCCTCAGGCCCTCCCTGAATATTGCTGCTTACTACTCGCTCTTCCCACCACGCCTACTTGATGAAAAACTCCCCTTACACACTTACTCGAACCTCCTCAGCGGGCCCCCTTGTCCCTTGTGTCCACAGTGGGAGGAACTGAGCGGCCTGGATGAGGAGCAGCACAGCGTGAGGACGTATGAGGTGTGTGACGTGCAGCGGGCCCCCGGTGTGGCCCACTGGCTGCGCACCGGCTGGGTCCCCCGGCGTGGCGCCGTTCATGTGTACGCCACACTGCGCTTCACCATGCTCGAGTGCCTCTCTCTGCCGCTGGCCGGGCGCACCTGCAAGGAGACCTTCACTGTCTTCTACTATGAGAGTGATGCTGATACGGCCACGGCCCAGACGCCATCCTGGATGGAGAACCCCTACATCAAGGTGCCTGGGCGCCCTGGGCAGGCCTTTGGCGGGGAAACTGGGGACTAGGAAGCAGGAGTGGTACATTTGCAGGGGTGGAATAACACCTCAATGAGAGGAAGACGCCTGAGCGAGATGGATTGACACAGTGCCCCCCACACAGTGGGTTCAAGTGTGTCAGAAATGATGAGGATGGCACAGGATAGGACAAAATGCAGATCTGTTGTTCATAGGGTTGTTAACTGCAACAAAAACAACAGGAGAACACTTAGGTCCTGGGCCTGACACCACGGGAGGCCCAGGCCTTGGGCCGCTCCACCATCCCCCTGTGCTCAAACCACCCTATGCTTGTCTCATTCTCAGACTCTCCTTCGCCCTTTCCCAGCCCCAAGCCTTTGCTCCTACCTCCCCTGGAAAGCCTCTCTTCCCTGCTCCTACTTGTTTTTTTCTTGATTCCAGCTCAGGTCTCTGTGACGACTTTGCTGGTAATCCTTGCCCCAGGGCGTCCATCACTCTATGCGTATGCCTGTCCTAGCGTTTGGCGTACTTTATAATTTATCTGTTTTATTCATTTCCGTTTCCACGACACTGAGGCCAGAGCCTGGCAGAGAATAGGTGTCGATAAATGTCTGTGCAGTGAGTGAATGGAAGGCAAAAAGGGTGCAGGGCAGGAGCTCCCAAAGTGCTGAGGGAGAATGTTGGGACATGCAAGAAAGTGCATGTTAGGGAAGGTAGAGAGAAGGTTCTGGAACAGGAACAGAGGAGGTGAGGAAGAGGGTGATCTGGGTAGATAGCTCACACCTGGTCCTTGGAGTGTGGACAACAAACAGCAGTGATGCCCCATCCTGGCAGGTGGACACAGTGGCTGCGGAACATCTGACCCGGAAGCGCCCTGGGACCGAGGCCACAGGGAAGGTAAACGTCAAGACACTGCGCTTGGGCCCCCTCACCAAGGCTGGCTTCTACTTGGCCTTCCAGGACCAGGGCGCCTGCATGGCCCTGCTGTCCCTACACCTCTTCTACAAGAAGTGCGCCCAGCTGACCCAGAACCTGACCCACTTCCCGGAGACCGTGCCTCGTGAGCTGGTGGTGCCCGTGGCAGGGAGCTGCGTGGCCAATGCAGTATCCACCCCGGGTCCCAGCCCCAGCCTCTACTGCCGGGAGGATGGCCAGTGGGCTGACCAGCTGGTCACTGGCTGCAGTTGTGCCGCAGGGTTCGAGGCCACCGAGGGCAACGCCAGGTGCCGAGGTGAGTGAGGGCCGCCAACGCCTTACACAGCTTGCCGAGTTCATGGGAAAGGACTCTTGGGTGCTCCCCATCCTCAGCCCTCTAGACCTGTCTTATTAAATTTCCATTTTGTACATTTTCTGTTTTCTTAGGTATTCAACTAGTGGGGGGCCTGTTTTCCGATTCCCCCATCATAATTCTGGCTTCTTCATTGTGGATTTGGGTTTTTTGTTTTGTTTTGTTTTGTTTTTTAAAGAAAACACAGCTTTTTTCTAAGTGACACTTTATTTTATATTTTTTATTGTTGTTGTGTGCCATTGAGTCAGATCCGACTGGCACAGGAGGAGACTGCCTATCCTTCTCCAGTGGAGCATCTGGTGGACTAGAACCACATACCTTCTGCATTGCAGAGCAGCTCCCTGCCACTAGGCCACCAGAGCTCCTTCACTGTGGATTCTTTCTAAACCATTTCCAACTTGCTTTCTTGCTAGGTAGATGTAGGCTAGTGTAGGATGCGGGGTTGCCCTCAGATTTGGGGCTTAGAAGACAACAGGACTATGGTCTCCATTTTTGTTCATTATACAGAAAACCAAAAATCCAAACCCACTACTAACAAGTAGATCTGACTCATTGTGAGCCCCCCACCGGGATTCCAAGGCTGTAAATCTTCAAAGGAGGGGACTGTCTTCTCTCAGAGGAGCTGGTGGTTACCAGTGCAACACTGTGTCATCACAGTTCTTTTGTGCATTAGAGTCATACCATTAAGTTTCCGCTAACTTATTGATACAGGGAGCTCTGGTGGCTTTGTAGTAAGAAGCTGTGTTGCAATCTTAAAGGCACGCAGTTCGAATCCACCAGCCACTCTATGGAAGAAGGATGGGCAGTCTCCTCCCATGCGATTTACTGCCTCTAAAAACCTGCTGGAGGCTCAGCTGTTGGTCAATTCCCACTTGACAGCACATAACAACAGCAACAATTTATTGATAATATCAAACTCATTACACTTTTTCTCTAGAGTGTGGTTTTTAAGCCTGGGTTTTATGACTTGAATTTAATGAAATGTATGAATTTTGATAGAAGGATAAATGACATCTTTGTTTAAATTATAGAAATAGATGCAGGAGTGGCTTCCACTTCTTAAACAACATGCTTCTGGAAACTCTATGAACTTTGAAAAGTGATGATAATTCTAGAAAGGTTTTAGATCTTTTGTTCATAGGGTTGCTATGAGTCGTGCTCGATTCCACAGCAGTCAACAACATGTGTGTATGTGTGTGTAAAATAAATAAATGCCATTGGAATAGAAATGACTTTACTTTCACTAAGATCTTCTGAGGCTGCTCCTTCCTTGTGGAATGTAGACCAGGCCATGGTAACACCAGGCTGGGCACCATTCAGATTATCAGTTTATGGGCAGTCCCCCCATCCTGGCACACAGCCCATCACAGCTGCTTGAAGACTCATTACTGCTTTTGCTCCCTCAGGACTTCAGCATCCCAGTGTTTATTAGATCAGCCACTCTCTCTTGTTGATAAAGAAGTGCCCCAGTTGATAGGTCATAAACTTGTTTTCTTAGTGTTTCGGTAATTACCCCTCATAATTGGTCCTTTGAATTCCTGTGTGTTTTGTGGTGTGCTTTTTATATCCTGGGGGGGGGGCACTTGTAGGCATTACCAGGGGCCAGTTGGGGTCAAAAAAGGCTGTGACTTCTTGTAGAGAATGAGAGAGGGATTTCTGCGACTTTCCTTCCTTCCTTCCTCCTGCTTATAACTTCACGTAGCCTTCAGAGCAACTGAATCTTTTGGGGGGTCAAGGGCGTGTGGTTTTGATGAACCTTTCTGTCTCTCAGCCTGCCCTCAGGGCACCTTCAAGGCCCTCGCAGGGGAAGGGTCCTGCCAGCCCTGCCCAGCCAACAGCCACTCCAACACCATCAGCTCATCCATCTGCCTGTGTCGCATCGGATACTTCCGGGCCCACACAGACCCCAAGGGCGCACCCTGTACCAGTAAGTGACCAATGACCAGGGTTGGTTCATTGGGGAAGGAGTTTGGCTGGACCCCTGGTCACCACCATAGCCCCCATCTTTCCAGGGCTTCTCCCTCATGACCCTGGCCTGCTGATCGCCAGAGGGGACAAGCAGTGACATGCAATGACATATGCCATTGCCGTTAATAATTGCCAGAGCTGGCCTCTGGCTCTTGCCACAGTCCCCTCCTGCCCATCCATGGGTTCATGGGTCTCTGACTCCCCGGCTCTTTCTCTCTTACAGCCCCTCCCTCTGCACCTCGAAGCGTGATTCCCCACCTCAACGGCTCCTCCCTTCTCCTGGAGTGGAGCGCCCCCCTGGAGTCAGGGGGCCGTGAGGACCTCACCTACGCACTCCGCTGCCAGGAGTGCCGACCTGGGGGTTCCTGCACGCCTTGTGGAGGAGACCTGACCTTCGACCCCGGTCCCCGGGACCTGGTGGAGCCAAGGGTGGCAGTTAAGGGGTTGCGACCTGACTTCACCTATACCTTCGAAGTCGCTGCCTTGAACGGAGTTTCTGCCTTGGCTTCAGGACCTGTACCCTTTGAGCCTGTCAATGTCACCACCGACCGGGAGGGTGAGATGCAGCAACCTGCAGTCGGTGGGAGGACCTGTTTGTGGGAAGGGACAGACAATGCATAGACAAGTTAAAGGCTGGAGTTCTCCCTCAATAAAGTAGTTATGAAAATGGCACAGACTGGGGGTCCCCCAGGAAAATAAAGGGAGTAAACCTTCTGAGGAAAGGGTGATGGGCATAGTGAGACTCTGAAAGAAGCAGAATCAAGGGTGGGGAGTCTGCTCGAGAGATCTGGGGACAGAGAATCAGAGAGAACTACTGAAACCACCCAAGCACTGAGACGAGTGTACCCAGCAGGGGAAAGGTTAGAAAAAGATGGGGACAGACCTGCCATGAGGGAGGACCTCAACATCTTTGTCTCTCTCAGTGCCTCCCCCAGTGTCTGACATCCGGGTGACACGATCATCACCCAGCAGCTTGAGCCTGTCATGGACTGTCCCCCGGGCACCCGGTGGGGTGGTCCTGGACTATGAGGTCAAGTACTATGAGAAGGTGAGACCAGGTTCCAGCCCTGGGTCAGGGGCTGGGCAGGGGACCGGGCACTATGGGCCAAGACCATTCCAACTGTTCCCCTTATTAGCTGTGGGCCCCTGGGCTTTGCCAAGCCTCACTATTCCCATCTGTAAAGTGGCTGTGATGACATAGGTTTGCTATGAATCTGAACCCTCCCAAAGCACATAACAGCAACCACACTGGGGTGCTGCAAGGATTAATTGCAGCATGGTGTATTAATTACAAGGCATGGTGTCTGTACACAGAAGCCACACCTGCCCCACTGCTGGACTAAGAAGCTAGAAATGGGGACACAGGGTGAGAGGAGGCAGGAAAAGCAGCAGAAATGGGGCTCCCCGGCTGACGGCCATTGCCACCTTCTGGACAGGGTGCAGAGGGCCCCAGCAGCATGCGCTTCCTGAAGACATCCGAAAACCGGGCAGAGCTGCGGGGGCTGAAGCGGGGAGCGAGCTACCTGGTCCAGGTGCGGGCGCGCTCCGAGGCTGGCTACGGGCCCTTTGGCCAAGAGCATCACAGCCAGACCCAGCTGGATGGTGAGTGAGCCTGGGGAGCAGGGCAGGGCGGGGTGCTGCCCAGCTACCTGGTCTCTGCCCCGCAGGACCTCAAAGTGACCCTCTCCTACTCCTTCCGTCTCTACCTCACGGCACCTTGACCTGCCACATGCACCTAGGGTGTAGACGTCAGTGCTGGGGTGAGTCTGGCTCCCTGCTTACCTGCTGTGTGACTTCTAGCCAGACGGGTCCTTCTGCACCCCATCAAGAAAATGGTTACAATTGAACCCATCTTCGATGCAGGGCTTCGAGAGTTGAATGAGGAAACACATACCGTAAGGTGCTGCACTTGTGCCTTCCAGCCCCTTTAGTTAGAAAGCTCCATTGAGAAGTAACCCAAACATCATTTGACGTTGTTGTTGCTGTTTTTAGGTACCACCAAGTTGAGTACGACTCATAGCGACGCTATGAACAAAAAAATCTGAACCCTGTTCTATCCTGCACCATCCTCACACTTCCTGACACACTGCAGCAGTTACCTTGTCAATCCACCTGGTTGAGGGTCTTCCTCTCCTTCACCCGCTCTTCACCCTTCTCAGCATCATGTCCTTCTCCACGGAATAGCCCCCTCTAGCAACATGTCCAAAATATGCCAGGCAAAGCCTCATCACTCTTGCCTCCAATGAGCACTCCCGCTGCACCTTCTACAAGACATAGCTGTTTGTTCTCTTGGCCGTTCATGGGATGTTCAGTGTTCTTCTGCAACACCACAGCTCAAGGGGTTATTGTTAGTTGCCGTTTAAGGTATATAAATTTAGTAGTTTTTGGTCCACTTGGATTAAAGCAGCCAATCACCACAATTTTACAAAGGTTTCCGAACTCCAGAAAGTAGCCCTGCACTCCTTAGCCCTTAATCTCCAACCCCACAGCCTTCCCTACTTTGTCTCTATCGACTGGCCTCTTCTGGATGTTGTTATGTGCTGTCCAGTCGCTTGCGACTCATAGCGACCCTATGTACAACAGCCCTAAACTCTGCTCTGTCCTGTGCCAATTGCACTATCTCTGACACTCCCATCCCGATTACCCCAGTCACTGAATCAGTCCACCTCATAGAGGGCCTTCCCCTCCTGCGCTGTCCCTCCACCCTCCCAAGCGTGATGTCCTCCTCCAAGGACCGGTTTCTCCTTACAACATGTCCAAAGTATGTTAGCCGGAGCCTCAGAATCCTTGCCTCCAAGGAGCTGCCCGGTTTGACCCTTTCCAGGATGAATCTGTTTGTTTTCCTAGCAGTCCATGGTATTCTCAATACTCTTATCCAGCACCACAGCTCAAAGGCATCAATTCTCCTTCTATCCTCCTTGGTCATTGTCCAACTCTCTGATGCATAACAAGTGATTGCAAAGACCATGGCCTGTATCAGACACACCTTAATCTCCAGAGAGACACCATTGCTCTTTAGTACTTTGGAGAGGTCCCTAACAGCAGATAGTGACCTTGTGCCTGGTGTCCTCACTTATCCCGATGTTTCCAAGAAGCATCTGTGTTGTAGCACATGTCAGACTTCATTCATTTTTCTCATCAGATAATATCACACTGTACAGATAACACCACATTTTATTTATCCACCAATGGACACTTGAGTCGTCTGTGCATTTTGGCTTTAAATAGAATTTTTACCTTCTGGAGCCTGTCACTCCCAGAACGTATATTAGGACAAAGTCAAAAGCCATAATGGTAACAAGATTAGAAAACTTGCCCTCCTGCCTTAGAAGAAAATCTGGAAACCACTGTGTTTTCCTGACACAGCCTGGCCTGTGTCCACTCTCCCCAATGGCACTGTTGCTGAGGCCTCACTCACTTCTGGAGGCTGCAGCTGGGGACCCCTCTGATCACCAGCTCTTTTCTTCCCAGAGGGTGAGAGCTGGCGGGAGCAGCTGGCCCTGATCGCAGGCACCGCGGTGGTGGGTGTGGTGTTGGTCCTGGTGGTCATCGTCATCGCTGTCATCTGCCTCAGGTGAGCACGTTGGGATCCCCATAGGGGAAGCCCCAGGTAGGTGACACACCCCCCCCCTGCATCATAACAGCCATCCTGGGAGCCCCATGAGCCTGTTTTCACCTGAGACCTCTCCAGCTCCACTTTCTCTCTTCCCATGCTGCGCCTCTGGCAACTTAAAAGATCTGTGACTAGGGGAGCTCTGGTGGCCTAGTGGCAAGGAGCTGCAACTACAATCCCAGAGGCACACGGTTTGAATCCACCAGATGCTCTTCCGGGGAAGGAGGGGCAGTCTCCTCTTGTACCAGTCAGATCTGATTTGACGGTACACTCACACAAAAATAATAAAATTTTTAAAAAAATTTAAAAAATAAAAAAAAAAGATCTGTGACTCAGTTTTGCCTTTTGCTTCTTTCCTATGGGCTCCAGGAAGCAGAGCAGCGGGAGAGAAGCCGAGTACTCGGACAAGCATGGACAGTACCTCATTGGGCATGGTGGGTAGGCCTATCCTGGAGGAAACGAGGGCAGGGGAGGAGCCAGGATCTGGGAATAGAACCTCCGAGTCCAGTGGGAAATGACTTCTTTGCTAATGGTTCTCCGCACAATCCCTCAGGTACTAAGGTCTATATTGACCCCTTCACATACGAAGATCCTAATGAGGCTGTGAGGGAATTTGCCAAAGAAATCGATGTTTCCTACGTCAAGATCGAGGAGGTGATTGGCGCAGGTACAAGGAAGGATGCTGGGTGCCTGGGGGTGTGGACAGATGGGGGGAGGGTGTGGAGAAGGAGGGCTGACTCGTGTCCCACCTACAGGTGAGTTTGGTGAGGTGTGCCGGGGGCGCCTCAAGGCCCCAGGGAAGAAGGAGAGCTGTGTGGCCATCAAGACCCTCAAGGGCGGCTACACAGAGCGGCAGCGGCGTGAGTTCCTGAGCGAGGCGTCCATCATGGGCCAGTTTGAGCACCCCAACATCATCCGCCTGGAGGGCGTGGTCACCAACAGTGTGCCTGTCATGATCCTCACCGAGTTTATGGAGAACGGTGCCCTGGACTCCTTCCTGCGGGTGAGTCCCCCAACTGTAACGTCTCACGTTCTCCCCGTTTCCCTCTGCTGGCCCAGAGCTACCACGGGGCAGAGGCCACTGAGCTCAGAACCCAGGCAGATGGCCCCATGTCCCTCTCCCCGGCCTCTCACTGCTGCTCTTCTCCATCCCAGTTATTGTTGGCTCGATTTTAACTCTCAGCGACCTTATGTGTCAGAGGAAAGCTGTGCTTCATAGGGTTCGTAGCCCCACCTTTGTGGAGGCAAATGGACAAGGCATTTGGGGTGACAGCCATGTGTGTAAATTACTGCACTACCAGGGACACCTGGCCCTCCCACCTGGCTCCCTTAACCCCCCAGAAAAGCCTGGGTTCCTGGGACTGACTGGGCCTTCAGCGGGGGTCAGGTGAGCCTCTCAGAGGACCCACTGCTCTGAACACAGAGGAGTTGTCATTTGAATTTGATGACAAACATTTACTAAGAGCCTCTGATGCATGCTGTGCTGTTCCCAGGCACTGGGGATAAGCTGTGATGAGCCGTGAATGAGGCCAGCAAGGGCCTGCTCTTAGGAAGCTGACAGTCTAGTGAGGACACCAGAAATTCAAAAGCAAACAAATGGACTTTTTCTGAAAAGTCAACAATTTCAGGTGTAAAAAGTTTTAAGATTATAGCAAGGTATCTGGGAGTGACGTGGGAAGAACTTATATTACTTCTGCACTTTATTTAACAGCTCTTACATTAAGAGTTGTAGTGGTGATGTAGTCTGTAGGGAGTTGCCAGGGTAACCTAAAGGTGGCTAGTTCAAATCCACCAGCAGCTCTGAAGAAGAAAGACAGGTAATCTCCTCCACTGGGATTTGTCACCTCCAAAAACCCGCTGGAGGCTCAGTTATGAGTCAGCGCTAAGCTCAAGTTTTTCATTTCATCAAATGTTACTCTTTAAATTTACTGTACATCTTTTTAAAAAATATATAAAATACATTTCCTTGGGGGTTGCAGAGTGGAGTATACTTGGAGTGGGGGTGGGGATGTGTGGGGTGGGGAGGGGATTGTGTACCAGTGAAGGAGTTTGTCTTTTGCTTTTCAAGGAGAGGAGTGAACTGGGGGTGGGGGTGGGGAGAAAAGTGCAACAATGAATGAATGGAATTCCAAAATCTCTGTACATGTTCATTGAAATTAATATAATAATTTTTTAAAAATACATTTCCTTACTTAGCAAAATGACATAGCAATTTTGCAGCACATAGGAAAATTACAATGCTTCTTCAGTATCATCTCAAACCCATTCGATACTGAAATTTCCCCAGTTGTCTCCGAAATGGCCTTTGCCTCTGGGTTTCCAGATCAAGATCCAGCTGAGGGGCGCGCAGCACGGCCGCTCTGCTGGCTGCTTGCGTGTTTTGTTTTCACGTTATTCCAGTTCTGAGCCTCTTTGAGCTCAGAGCCGTTCCTTATTGAGATGTTGGCCTGCCAAGGGGCGGGCTGGTCAGTCTTCCTCTGGACTGCCCCTTCTGGATTTACTGAGTTCCCCTCTCTGGGGTCATTGTGCTCGTTTCTCTGTGTTTCCTGTAATAGAAGCTGCAGCTACAGTTTTGATCTGTTCATAATTGATAGCTGTGACTAGGCTTTTAGAGGGTGCTCTGCTCTGTCCTCCAAGTCCCATCAGGGACCCTCGCCCCACTCTGAGCGATGATGAGGGGACAGACCCTTGGGTAGATTGGTCAGCTATGAGTTTTTGTTACGTTGATAGCTCTGTTACAGAACTCTAGTTCTTGGGGGCATACGAGGTCAGTTTTTTAAGAGAGATGACACCCGGGCAGACAAGAAAAGGCCAGTGGTGAGACAGTCATGGGAATGGTGGCTAGTGAGTAGAGATCCGGAGTGAGAAGGGACTTGGATGATTCAGGATCAGAAAGTCTGGGGTGACCACTGTCAGTGAGCTGGTGGATCATGAGGCAGATGGTGGCCCAGGTCACAGTGGACCTCATAGCCTTAGCCAGGAATTTGGATCTTGGAATATGTGTGAGGAGGCACCATCAGAGGGATTCAGGCAGGAGGGCGAGAGGATTTCCCTTGGCCTGTGTCCTGGGACAGAAGCAGAGGCCTTAGGGTCAGTGGCTACAGACACTCAGGAGGTGGAGGGGAGACGTAGGGGGACTGGGGAGAGGTTTTAGATGCAGAGACAGAAAGTCTGGACCTGCTGCTGAACTGTGAGTGGCGGGTGATGGAGAGAGAGGGAGTCAGGGGAGACGTGGGTCTAGACCAGGCGAGAATTTCCAAGAACTGAGATGCAGTGGGAAGGGGCAGGTTTGGAAGATGGAGTAAGAATTTGAGTTTCAGAGTCTGTGTCCCTGGCCTTGCAAGGCTGCAGAGGATCTGCAGCTAAACTTAGAAGATGGGATTTGTTAACTGTCTGGAGTGTTTGGTTTAAGTGGTAACAGCAAACGCCATAAACGTCCGGGCTTTAGACCGTTAAGTTATCATTGTTGAGTTATATTAACACAATACTAAGCTTGTCATTCTTCCTATTTAAACACATGCATTTACATTCAGTCATTCTTAATTACTTGCTTGTTGTCATGGTGTACCATTGAGTCAGAACAACCCCTAGCATATGCAGTTCAGAGGCAATAAATCACGTGGGAGGAGACTGCCCATCTGTCTTCCTCAGATTCACTGGTAGATTCGAACCATGTTCCTTTGCATTGGCAGCACAATTCCTCATCACTGAGCCACCAAGCTCCCTCTTATGAGACAATTTTTACAACAACATGTTAAGACAGAGATTTGACTCTGGGGTCACTGATCACACCCCAGTTCCCTGCTGTCCTCTGGCAAAGCCATCCCCAGCTGGTCCAAGAGGGCTGAGCGAAATTGTGGGTGGATCAGCACAAATCCATCTCTTAATTGTCAACAGATAACTGCCAGAGTGCTGTCGCAATAGGAACTTTTAGCTAAGAAGCCTTTGCTGAGCATTTCTTGCTTATAAAGCACAACTTTAGGATATGTATTGTTGTTATGTGCCGCCAAGTTGCCTGTGACTCATAGTGACCCTACGTACAACAGCCCTAAACTCTGCTCTGTCCTGTACCGATCTCACTGTCTCCAACACACCCACCCCCATTACCCCAGTCACTGAATCAATTCATCTCATCGAGGGTCTTCCTCTCTTGTGCTTTTTCTTAGCTTTTTCTCTTTTCTTAGCAGTCCATGGTATATCCAATACTTTTCTCCAACACCACAGCTCAAAGGCATCAATTCTCCTTTTTTCATCCCTAGTCATTGTCCAGCTCTCTGATGCTGTGATTATAACAAGTGATTATGTATAAGGGAGAAAAAAATAAATAAAAAAGCTTGCCTCCAGAAACTATGAACTTGGAGAAAAGATAAAGCTTTTGTGTTCAAGACTTTTGTTCATGAGGTCGCTATGGTCGTCTACGACTCTAAGGCACTTGACTGCAACCACAATAAGGAAAATGGAAAAATTATCTCTTAATAATGAGATTAAGAAAGCCAGAATGTAAAGGTGTATATTTGAAATGGGAAGAATTTCAAACACTGTATTGTGTTAATATAACCCAGCAGTGACACTTGTTAACATCAGATTAGAACTGACTCATAACTGACCCTTGAGAAGTTTTTCAAAGCCCGTAAATTGCACAAGAGGAGATTGTCATCTTTCCCCAGAGGGGCGGGTGGTGAATTTGAACTACCTGCCTTTGGCTTTGTAACCCAACTCCATAGCCACTAGGCCACTAGAGCTCTGTCATAAAATGATGATGATGTCATTGTTGTTGTTGTGTGCCAACAAGCTGGAACCTCATAGCTGACCCTCCAGCAGATTTTCAGAAGCAGTAAATTGCGTAAGCAGACTTCTCCCACTGAGCAGCTAGCTGGTGGATTTGACCGAACCACCAGTGCTCTGTTGCTATAACAGGAACTTGTTAGATAAAAGGCCTTTGCTGAGTGATTTCTTGGGTATAGCGCATACCGTTAGAGTTAGTGTAAGAAAAATTTAAAAATTGCCTCCTAATAATATATTTGAATGAACTGAGAAGGACGTGAAGCACTTGGTGCAGAAAGTCAAGGACTGTAGTCTTTTGTATGGATTGAAGCTCAACATCAAGAAGACAAAGATTCTCACCACTGGGCCAATTGACAGCACCGTGAGAGCTGGAGAAGAGATTGAGGTGGTTAACAGTGACAGCTTGCTCAGATTCACAGTCAACACAGTCAGGAAATCTAAAGACAGAATGCACTGGGAAAAATCTGCTGTCAGTACTGAGAAGCAGCGATGTCAGTCTCAAGACTAAGGTGTACCTGATCCAGGCCATGGGCTTCGCAGTTACTTGCTGTGCAGCAGAGAGCTGGACAGTGACTAAGGATGACAGAAGAATTATTGATGTCTTTGAGTTGTGGTGCTGGAGAAGTGTCTTTTATTTTATTTTAGTGTGTGTGTGTGTGTGTGTGTGTGTGTGTGTGTGTGTGTGTGTACCATCAAATCAGATCTGACTGATACAGGAGGAGATTGTCCCTCCTTCCCCGGAAGAGCATCTGGTGGATTCGAACCATGCGCCTCTGGGATTGCAGTGCAGCTTCTTGCCGCTAGGCCACCAGAGCTCCCCTGGAGAAGAGTCTTGAACATACCATGGACCACCAAGAAAACAGATCCGTCTTGGAGAGGGTGAAACCAAGTTTCTCCTTGGAGGCTAGGATTTTGAAGCTCTGTCTCACATACTTTGGGCACATAGCCAGGTGGGACCAGTCCTTGGAGAAGGACATCATGCTCTGAAGGGTGGAAGGATAGCACAGGAGAGGAAGACGCTGGATGTGATGGATTGATACAGTGACTGGGGCAATGGGGGTAGGTGTGTCGGAGTCAAACTTGCTCGGGACAGGACAGGCTTCAGAGCTACTGTACATAGGGTCGCTGTGAGTTGCAGGGGACTCAATGGCACAGAACAACAGCAACAATAATGTAATTAAGAATGACTGAATGTAAATGCATATGTTTGAAGTCAGAAGATTTACAAGCATTTTATTGTAGTAACATAACTCAACAATGACAGCTTATTGAGTCAGAATTGATTCCTGGCTGACCCTCCAGCAGATATTCAGAGACTGTAAATTGCACAAGAGGAGATGGCCATCTTTCTCTTGAGGGGGCAGCTAGCTGATGCTTTTGAACTGCCTGTCTTTGGGTTAGCAGCACAGCTCCTTACCTACTTAGGTCATCAGAGCTCTGTTTTAACATTTTTTTTTAAAAAAAGGCAAGCTCTTGTGGCCTAGTGAAAAGAAGCTGCACTGCAATCCCAGAGACACTAAGTTCAAATCTACCAGATGCTCTGCTGAAGAAGGAGGAATAATCGCCTCCTGTACCAGTCAGATCCTATTTGACAGTTGTTGTTGTTTGGTGCCGTCAAGTCGTGGACGACTCATAGCGACCCTATGAACGAACAACCTGAGCACTGTTCGTACATAGAGTTTCCGGAGGCAAGCCAATTCAGAAGTGGATGCCACTCCTGCTTCCAGGCTTGATTTAGTTGGGAAACTCCAGCCAACAGTGTCCACCATGGGTACCCGTTATCACGATTGGCACATCACTGTCACAGTCTTCAGCATCACAGCAACCACGAGTTACCTCTGTACAGCACACACATAAAAAATAATAATAATTAAAAAATAAAAATCTGCTAGGGAGCTCTGGTGGCCTAGTGGCAGGAAGTTGCACTGCAATCCCAGAGGTATGCAGTTCAAATCCAGATGTTCTGCTGGAGAAGGAGGGACAATCTCCTCCTGTACCAGTCAGATCCGATTTGATGATACACACACAGAAATTTTAAAAATTAAAAAAAAAGGCAGTTTAAGGGAATGGCAAAGGATACACTGACAAAGAAGATTAATCAGAACTGGCTTTGACAAGCACTGTGGCATTTGGACAAGAACAAACTGGGAGGAGGGTAGAGAGAATAGTGCAACAATGAATGAGTGGAAGCCCAAAATCTCTGTAAATGTTTATGAAAATTAATAAAATATAATTATAGAAAAAAAAATAAATATCTGAAAAAAAAAGATAACAACAGCATAGTATTTGATATTTCAACAGATCTCATTAATCATTAATCATCTGTAAAATTCAGTGACATACATAATACTTATTGTATTGATTAAATATCATTACTATCCATTTACAAAGCTTTTCATAATCTTTGAAAGAGGCTCAATGCCTCCTAATTATGAATCTCTCTTTTCTCAAACTTCTCACTCCAGGTAACTATCAATAAAATTTGGTCTCCATTAAATGCAAAAAAAAAAAAGCAGTTTAAAAAAATAATCCAAACAAACAGAACAATAGCCCAGAATAAGACATGCAAAGCAAAGTGGATTGAGGGGTAGGGAGGAAATTATGCAACAATGATTTTTCTTTTAAGTGAACTGGGGTGAGTAGAAAGGAAAATAGGCAACAGTGAATAAATGAAAATCCAACTTTTCTATAAATTTTAATTAATATCACAATTAGAAAAAAAGAGCGGGTTTTCTGAGGTGGTGGGTAGGCCTGCCCCCGGCAGGTGACCCAGAGTAGGCTCCGCAAGTGACGAGTACGGTTTAGAAGACGGGAAGAAGTGGGACACTGGGTGGGTTGTCCTCACTGTGCCCGCCTGTTCGTCTGCAGCTGAACGACGGACAGTTCACCGTCATCCAGCTGGTGGGCATGTTGCGGGGCATTGCCTCGGGCATGCGGTACCTCGCTGAGATGAGCTACGTCCACCGAGACCTGGCTGCCCGCAACATCCTGGTCAACAGCAACCTTGTGTGCAAGGTCTCGGACTTCGGCCTTTCCCGGTTCCTGGAGGAGAACTCCTCTGATCCCACCTACACAAGCTCTCTGGTAAGGCTGGGAGCTGGGTGAAGGGTGGTATGAACTAGGTGTAGGGCCAGGAGGGGAGGGAAGTGGAAAGGTGGGAGGCTAGGGGGTCCCACAGGTCTGTTCTGGGGAGCAGAAGCAGAAACAGCAAGAGGTGGACTTTTTAAGTGTCTTAGGGAGAATAGAATTAGGGGAGGGGTGGGTAGTTGGGTCCCAGAAAGAATGGAAGTCTGAACTAGGGGGAAAGCAAAGGAGGGACATTGTGTGGGCCTGTGAACCCCTCAGCACCTTTTCCTCCCCTTTCTGTAGGGAGGAAAGATTCCCATCCGATGGACAGCCCCCGAGGCCATTGCCTTCCGGAAGTTCACATCAGCCAGTGATGCGTGGAGCTATGGGATCGTGATGTGGGAGGTCATGTCATTTGGGGAACGGCCATACTGGGATATGAGTAATCAGGACGTAAGTGGTCGTGTCAAACATTTCTGTATCATTCCATCATCTGGGTCCTTGAATTGATGAGGGTGGCTGGAAGAAGTGATCTTTATTTTTTAATTGTGTTATTTTTACGTGTACCGTCAAATCAGATCTGACTGGTACAGGAGGAGATTCCCCCCTCCTTCTCCAGCAGAGCATCTGGTGGATTTGAACCGCGTACTTCTGGGATTGCAGTGCAGCAGAATTGATCTTTGCTATCAATTCATGTTGGGGTCCCAGAAGGACACGGAGGTGGAGGGCAGAGTTGGGAGGTTGTGTGGCCGGGCCATCCAATCAAGGGCGGCCTCAGCCTTGGGAATCAGAGCTGTCATTCTGGGAGACTGTGGCTTTTATCCTACTATCTGCTAAGTCCCCTTTTTGCTTGTAGCCTTTCAGTACCTTTGTGTTCCCCAGATGTCCTTACCAGTGTGCTTCTGCCCGCCACCCCAGGTGATCAATGCCATCGAACAGGACTACCGGCTCCCCCCACCCCCCGACTGCCCCACCTCCCTGCACCAGCTCATGCTGGACTGTTGGCAGAAGGACCGGAATGCCCGGCCCCGCTTCCCCCAAGTGGTCAGTGCCCTCGACAAGATGATCCGGAACCCTGCCAGCCTCAAAATCGTGGCCAGGGAGAATGGCGGGTGAGGACCCCCAAGAATGGCCCACCACCCACGAGCTCCCCCTTTGGAAGTGCCTGTCCCCTTGGTGGTATGTGGGATGGTCTCTGTTCATCCCCAAAGGTCGGCCACGGGGCTGGGCTCCCCGTCCTCCCTTGACTCGGCCTTGATTCTCGGCATCATGTATCTGCCAGGGCTTCACACCCACTCCTGGATCAGCGGCAGCCCCACTACTCCGCTTTCGGCTCGGTGGGCGAGTGGCTTCGGGCCATCAAGATGGGCAGATACGAAGAAAGTTTTGCAGCTGCTGGGTTTGCCTCCTTTGAACTGGTCAGCCAGATCTCCACTGAGTAAGTCAGGGGAGGAACTTGGGGGTCCCAGCGGTGGACACAGAAAGAAGTCTGGGCATGAGGAGTGTAGGGACTTAGACCAGACCCATAGCTGGTCTTTGGGGTCCCCTTCTGGTGTCTGCTCTGTTTTTTTCAATGGAGCAACACTAGGAAATTATTGCCTTAGAAAGGAGGGCCAGCAAAAGAGAGGAAGACCCCCAACGAGATGGATTGACACAGTGCCAAGGGCAATGGCTCATGTATGTCAGAGATGATGATGGTGCAGAAGAGGACGGGGGTCAGATCTATTGTTAAGTTCACCTACGAGTTGTACTCAACTCAGTGGCACCTGACAACAACAGCCAAGCCCAGGAGAGCAACAGAAGCTGTGGAGGCAGTGACTTTGCCCCAGCCGTGCCCACCTTTCCGCTCACACGTCCTGCTGGGGCCTCTCCCCCTCAGCCTCCTTCCCTATCTATCTCTGTGTATCTATCTACATTCCAGCCTCAGACTTCCCTTTAACAACACGTCAACGCAGGGCCAGCTTTCTCACCCATAAAAGGAGAAGACTGGAGTAGGTTTTGGAGATGCTTTCCAGCTTTAAAGTTAAATGGTTTTATGATTGTGCATCTCCCGGTGTTTGCTCCCTTGGCCTCCTCGTCTGGGTTTGGTGTTTGGTGCTGCTGGGCCCTGCTCCCTCCAGGCTAGTCTAATAGAAAGAATAAACACCAAACCAGAGGCTTCGGGGGTCCTCTCCAGACCAGACTGGGGGCTGGCATACATCTCCCCTAAATTGCCACAACTTCCTTTAACACAGGCCCTTTCTCCCACTTCCACGTCTTTCCCACTTGTTATCACGCTCCGGCAGCAGGATGGGAGGGGGCGGATGGTTTCTGCCCCTTCACTCCTGGCACCGGCGCCTTGCCTTCCTCTGCACGCCACTCTTCCTTTTCCTTCCGACTTCGCCTTTTCCTCTCTAATGCAATCTGTGCGCAGCCCCTTCTCCTAGCCTTATTTCGGGGGGCCTGTCTCTTGCTTTTCCTTACCTCCACTCTTCTCCCCTTAATCGCAGCTGGAGGGTCCTGCTGCAGCCCCACCTCCTCCCTCACTTGGCCCCACCCCAATTTCCCAACTCAGTAGAAAGCTAGCTCCACCCTGTGCTGTGGTTGTGTGGAAGGGCTATGTCCCCACTCTTATAAAATTCCTCCCCAAACTGCCAAGCAACTATTGACGTTGCCCCTTTGTCCCCTGTGGCCTTTTTGATTGGCTGGCAATCTGTAACATGCAGCCTTTCCGGAGGCACTTAAAGCATGCTGTGCAGGGCAGCCAGTGGTCTCACCCAACTCTCCTTCCTCCCACAGGGACCTGCTCCGAATTGGAGTCACCCTGGCAGGACACCAGAAGAAAATCCTGGCCAGTGTCCAACACATGAAATCCCAGGCCAAGCCTGGAGCCCCAGGCGGGCCAGGAGCACCAAGCCCTCAGTATTGACCAGTGCCTGCCCACTGGCCCCACAGCCCGGAGCGGAAGGAGCTCTGAACCCCAGGGGGGAAGCCTCCCCTTTCTCCTGGGGTGGAGTCAACGTGGGGACTCAGAGAGGCCCCCCTTCTTCCGCTCCCCACTGGATTGCACTTTGAACCCAGGAGGGTGGGGAGTTGGCAATTTGGAGAGACTGGATTTGGGGACTGTGCTGTGTTGAAGCACAGAAGTCACATGGTTGGGAGCCCCAGACTCTGGGTGAGGGAGTCCTCCCCTCAGGATTGGGTGTGACCACGGCTGGAATTTCCCAATTTCCACGGAGTTGGCTGGGTGGGAATCCCAGCACCCCTAATCCCCAGCCAGCACTTCCCCTCACCTTTCTGGGCCTTGTCCCTGCAGACCAAAGAGAGGGGGTGACCAGCTTGCCAACCCGGGAGTGATGTCCCAGGAGGAAGGGCAGTGACATGGTCCAGTGACAAAAATCACTGGACTTTGATGTCTCGACCTCGCTGCTGTCACCACTGAACTCATTTACCCTCCCCCCTTTGTAAATACCCTTCCCCCATCAGCTGCCTTCATATTGAAGGTTTTGAGTTTAATTTTTTGGTCTTGTATTTTTCCCATTTTGTTCTGTTTTGTTCTCCCATCCTTGTCATAACTTTCCTTTCGAAGGGACCTTGTTCCTATCGCCTCCCTTTACCCACATAAAAACTGGGCCTCATCGCTGGGTCTGTTTCGGGAACAGGGCCTTGGTCAGGCCCCAGCCCCCGGGCTCCCTGCCTCCCAAGTACCGGCCATTTGTGTCTGATGGGACTTTGCTGAAGGGTGAGGTAGTGAAGAGGACAGTGGGGGGGGGGGTGGAAGACCGAGCCAGATACCGGTGCTTGGGGGGGCTTCTTAAATTATATTTAAAAATGATTTTGTATAAATAAAAGAAGATGGGAATTGTACAAGCTCTGGGGGTGATTAGGAGCTGGGGGTGGGGAAGATTAGATTTCTGAGAAGTGTGAAGTCTGCGAGTGGAGGGGTAGGCAGTGGTAGGCCCTGGTTTGGAAACAGGCGGCCTGTGCACCAAGTGCCTGGTCCCAGTGGCTGCTGGGGGTGATGGGGTGGGCGATGAGTCATAGGCATCTGCTTCTAACGGCTCCAGCTGACGCTGCCAAATGCCTAGGGCACCTCCGGGGTGGGGCTCCTTCCCCCCAATTTCTTAGCCGTGGCAAAGGACTACACAAGGAAGGGGAGATCTTGAGCTCCCCGCCCTGCCCCGTCAGTCCCCTGACCAGGAAGGGGCACAAGCTGCAGTAGGGAGTTCAGATAGAGACTAACAGGGCCAAGATGTTGACAGCTGGGCTTGCTGCTGGAGGGTGGTGCTATCTAGATTAGCTGGGTCTAACGAAAGTGGGACCCCATCGAGAAAGTGGGACCCCATCGAGCGGCCCACCCAGACAGGAAGCCAAGGATGAGGTCAACCCCAGGTGCACGCTGCCAGTTTTGTCTCAACACTTTGACTTCCTTTGCTCCCCTCCCCTCCGGGACATCCACTGAAGCAGGTCATCAAGGCACCAGCTTTGCTTAGCTGGAGCGGCCTCCACTGTTTTTCTTTCTCAGGACCCTAAGTCCCAGCTTCCTCTCTCCAGGCTGAGCCTCACTACCATCTTCATCCTGTCCCCGTTTTCCTATCTCCATAACCTCTCAATATCCTTGCTCTGGGAAAGTGGGAAGGAGGTAGGGACCCAGTCTGGGCAAGGCAGAAGGGGATCTGTGTCCTGAGGGTGTGGGGATGGTCATCAAGAGGATGAGGACCCTCATCAGCTCACTTCTGCCCCTCTGATGGTAGGTCAGATAAGGTGAGGAGAGGGGCAAAGGTCGAGGGAGCAGTGCAGAGATTAAGAACAGAGGCAAAGGGTCAAAGATGCATCATGGCGGTTTCAGCAGGGAGCCTCAGGGTGACAGGCAAATTTCTACCCTTCCTGGTTCCAGAAGCTGCCCTGAGCCTGCCAGTCATTGCTAAGCCTCCAAGAGTGTGGGCTGCTACTCGAGAGAAGGAAGAAAAAGCCATGTTGGGCAGGGTGCCCCTTCCGCCCTGGGGTCTCTCTCATCACCCATCTACAGGAGACAACAGAGGCTGCTGTCCTAGAGGGCCCACAGTCTGTAGATGCCTTTCCAGAACCTCTTTATTTTTATTATTATTATTATTATTATTATGTGTGTGTACCGTCAAATCAGATCTGACTGGTACAGGAGGAGATTGTCCCTCCTTCCCCGGCAGAGCATCTGGTGGATTTGAACCGTTTGCTTCTGGGATTGTGATTGCAGCTCCTTGCCACTAGGCCACCAGAGCTCCCCTCCCAGAACTTCTTATTCTTTCTATTTACAATTCTTCAAGTCCCCTTTCCCTTTGGGGTCTACATGCAGTTATCAAATTCCCAGGCTTCCTCAGAACACAAGAAGGAATGCCCAAAGCCAGGACCTGCTTAATTGGAGGCACTGGGAGAGCCTGGAAAGTTGGTGCTCTGACCTCACCCTGGGGGTGGGAGGTGGAGTGGGTTTCTTCTACCTGGACAGAGCTCAGCCAATTTCCCTCCAGACCCTAATTTCAGTTCTCATAATAACTCTAGGTCCTTTTTGGAAATTACAACAGTCAGTGGGATGTGCCTGCCTAGAGGGTCTAACTTGTTTACCTACTGAATAAAACCACTCTTCCCATCAATAACTTCCCCAAATCACCTTTCCCTAGCATTGGGGAGCTTAGGCCTTGGGTGACTAGAAGGGTGAAACCTTTTCAATTATGTCAGAAGGCATAGCACCAAGGCTAATATTGCAAGTTACTTTCATTTTACTTAGACCCCAAATTGACAGTCATGGAGGAAAAAGAATTGCACTAGGAGGTCTGATGTCCTGTGATCCCTTTCATTCCTTCCCAGCCTCTTTCTTTACCTCTCACTGATAGGGGGTGGACCCCCCAAGGCTGCATGGCCCACCCTAGAGACCACCATGTCTTCAGAAGCACTGCCTTGCCCCCATACCTCTTTACCTCAGGAATATCCCGCACTTCACACCTAGGCCCCATGTCCTCTTTAGATGTTTGCACCAGAACCAGAACGCCCCCGCATACCTGCCTCCCTCATCTGCCATCCTAAACCCACCACTTGACAGACCCAAGTCCCTCTTCCGTAATCTCATGCAAATTTACATCTCAAAAAGTATTTTCTCTCTACTTTTTTTCAAAATAACTCAGGATTGAATGAAGGGTCTCTCTACAACAAAATCTGAGGAAGAAAGTGAGAAAACATGAGAAGCAGACTAAGCTCCAGTTTAGAATCTAGCTTTCGCTTCAGCCCACCCCATTCCAGGTGGCCAAGGGTGGGGACTGTGGGCTGGGTCTCACCTGTGTCCACCAGCCTTCCGGGTTTCACCTCAGCATTTCTTTGCCTTAAGGGGTGTTTGGAAACAGGGAGGCCTCCTCTTGCCCTAGGCCCACTCCTTGTTTCCTTGCCCACCCCATCCCCGCTGGTCTCCTGAACTCACCTTCTCCTCTTCCTCTGAAGGTTCTGTCTGGTCACCACCAGCACCATGAATGCCAGGGGGCATTAGCATTCCCAGCAGTAAGGCCACAAGGTTGAGTGTTTCTAAAATGCAGGGGACGAAATCAGTGATGTGGAAAAGGAAGGAGTTGGAGAGTGAGAAGTGGAGGGAGGAGACACTTCATTTTGGTCTTTCATTCCCACCCTAAATGAACCATGGTTAGCCTAAAATCTCTAGGTGGGCCTGTGGGGGTGAGGAGCTCCAAGGCCTTGGCCACCACCCCAAGAACCCTGTCTGTTTTCAGACACACTAACAGGGCTGTGCCGCCAGCTGGCCCTCTGGACACCAGGTTGAATTAGCACTTGGGCCTGTTTCTCTCACAGTGTAGCTCTGAAGTCACTTTTTCCTGTCACCTGAAATGCAGATTTCCGACCCCACCCCAGACCTGAGTTTGAGAAACACAGGCCCAGAAACTCAAGGAAGTTCTGGTTTAGGATCAAGAAAAACCAAGGAAAGGATCAGAGCAGGATGAAGGGGTGTGAAATGGGGAAAAACAGCTCACTCTCATTTCCCCTTCTTGGCTGAGGGCCTGAAGGTGTGGACAGACAGTGGACCGTCTCTCGGAGGGCCTTCCTCACTACCAAACCCCTCTCACCTTGGAACTCTGGGTTGACCTCACTTCTGTGCACCTCCCAGCTGTTGCCAAAGGCGTTGACATTCTGGGTGAGGATACCCCTGGGCAGCATTAAATCATCCTGGTTCCTGTCACAGCCCTCGCATGAGTCTTTGGTACGTTCTGGGCAAGGATATGACTTGACTATGGGAGGAAGGGGCCATGCAGATGTGAGAGGCTTTAACTGGGCTCTGCTGTCTCTCCCCTGGCCCACCTCCTCCTGGTGCATCCCCAGCTGTACCCCGCTCCCTGACAGGAGGGGCCCTCTTGCTGCTCCTCGCCCCACACCTCCATCCATGCATTAGTCCCATCAAAGCTGATGGCCAGCCTGAAGTCAGTGGTCAGGTACAGGCAGTAAGAACACAGGGAGACCCGCAGCTGCCTGTTGAGCCTTGTAAGGAACGGTGACCTCCTCGTTAACTTGGAGGAGGACAACACTAACTGCAGGGGTCCCTGGCATCTCATGTGGCAGAGGGTTCCCTGAGTGCAGCCCCAGCCTTGTCCCTGCAGAAGCCAAGCCCCAGCGATGCCCTTGTCCTCCTTCACCTGGGTTCACAGCTACACCGTGAGCTCTCTTTCTTGAGTCTCTCCAGTCTTTTGCTTAATCCATCAGCCCTCTTCTGCCTTTCGCTATGAAGTTCTGACACGGATTCACTGCACTGTCCCAGTCTACCTTCCCAGACCCTCCTGGGCCTACCGGGAGGAGCTGGATTCTAAAGCCATAGACACTGACAAACACTTCATGCAGGAAGACCAGGTTCCAAGCCAGGTACATCTTGGTGTGACCCTCCACGATCAGGGGCTCCACTTCATCAGGGAGT